CCAGCATCTCCGTGCCCGGCGGTGCACTCTCGCTCACAGCAGCACGGTACTCGGCACGGCTGAACACTGGCGGGTTGTCGTTGATGTCCTGCACCGTGATCAGCACCGGCACTGTGGTGCTGCGCTGGGGCAGGCCCCGGTCCGAGGCTGCCACAGTCAGATTGTAGACCGGGATGGCCTCGAAGTCCAAGGGCTCCACAAGCACCAGGGCTCCCTGCGTGCGGAGGTGCCCCCCTGCCCAGGCCACCCTGCTCTCCACCTGGAACGCGTTGCCGCTGTTGCCACTGACGATGGTGTAGTCGAAGCCAGCATTCTCCCGGGAGAGGTCGGCGTCGCCTGCCTCCAGTGTCAGCACTGTGGTGCCAGGGCGCAGGTCCTCGGGGACACTGGCATTGTAGCATGGCGCCTGGAAGCTGGGGCTGTGGTCATTCACATCCAGCACCTGGAGCTGCACTGTGGCCCAGGATGAGAGGCTGGGAGAGCCACGGTCACGGGCCTCCACCACCAGATCCAGGGTGGGCTGGCTGGCATTGAATTCCACCTGACGGATGGTGAAGAGGGTGCCTGTGAGGGAACAAAGCCAGAGTCAGCACGGGTGAACAGGGAGCCAGAAGGGTGTCCAGGTTACTCACTGGAGGAGCAGGAGTCCAGGATGCTGTAGTGCCTCGATGGCCACCCCACCATGTCTGCCTCAGCAGCCACCCCAGGCAGTATCCTGGAAGGAGCTGGGCCTGGGCCAGCCCAGGGGTACCTCCCTCTGCAGGCCCCATCCGAGCAACCTCCTGTGCAGCCCCACGCACCGTTGCTGGGGTCGATGGCAACGTCAGGGCTGGGCACAGCCAGGTGGAAGGTGACATCCCCGTTGCTTCCAGAGTCCGGATCAGATGCGCTCACGGTGAGGATGCTGCTGCCTGCAGTTGTGTGCTCTGGCACTGCCACCTGGAAGAGGAGGAAGCCCCAGTCAGCACCAGGTCCCTCTCTCCTGGAGCCAGCCAGCAGGGCTGGGAGAAGCTCTGGGGCTGGCCAGGGCAGCGGTGGCCAAGGTGGCCCAGCTCAGGGCTGGCCAGGGCCTTCCCCAGCTCTGCACCAGGGCCACAGCTGGCACACGAGGGGGTCTGTCCCATGTGCACAGCACCCACTCTTGCTAGTGTGACTCCCAGCCAGCTACAGCATCGAGCTTCTGATCCTTCTCTTTACGTAGCTCAGCTATTCTGAAGAGCTCTTTAATAGCTGATATTTTTTCCACAGAAGGTACTTTATCTAAATCACAAGAGCTCTTGTCCTTCTGGTGTGCCAAACAGCACATACAAACAGAGGTTCCACTGCTCTGTGCCCTCAGGTATTTCTGTGGCTTCCCAGCCTCTTGCACCTCTGCCCCAGAATGCAGCACATGGCATGGGCCAGCTTTCCTCCCATGATCTGCCCATGGAGACCTGGGCCAGGTCTCACCTGAAACACTCGTCCAGGTTGTGACCCATCACCCACCCTTCTGGCTGTCCTGCTGTCCCCACTCCTTCCAGCACACTATGTCTGCAGGACTCTGGGCTGGCCTGTGGCTGCTGGCCCTGGGGCCACGTGCCTGGTTTCAGCCTCCTGTCCAGGCCACAGCGACAGCACGAGGGGTGTTGGGGTGTGGGTGGGAGCCCGGGGGGATCTCTGTGCCTCCTCAGCCCAGTGAGGCCAGTGGGGGCTGCCCAGGGGCCCCAGGGTGGCCCGGGCTGCCTGGCACACCAGTGTGCTGTACCTGGTAGAAGCCCTGGCTGAAGATGGGTGCATTGTCGTTGACATCCTCCACGAGGATGGTGAGGTTGGCTTCAGTGTGGTGGTGGCCGTCGGAGGCGCGCAGGGTGAGGCTGTAGCGGCTGCTCTGCTCGTGGTCCAGCGGCGCCGCCAGCGCCAGGCGCCCCCCGAAGCGCAGCACCGAGAACCTGCCCCCCCCGTCCCCCCCCCGCACCCACCA